TATGAATGAATGAAATCGGAGTGTTACAGCCAAATAGTGTTCCTCGTTAGTCATAACGAATAGAGTTTATTATTATGTTGCTCAAGAAAAGAGTCAAATAAGGAGTAGACTATTGAACAAACAAACATTAGAATCGTTCTTTCTTTGTATAACTCTTTATTCTACTTTGAACTAGTTTCTTTTAAAGTCTGTAATATTATTTTCTTTATAGATATACATTGACGTCGTTTTACTTTCACCTGAAGCTCCTTTAACTTCAGAAACAGTTAAATTCTTACTTCAATCCAATAAGAAAAAATACACGATTATTAAAAATGAATCATCTGCTTCAAGTGTAGACTGGTGGAAGCCATTTGGATATCCATCGAAATTAAATGAAAATGGTGAATATGATCGAATTAAAGGATTCATCAGTTGCTTCAAACGTTTTAACACATTTATTTATAACAGTAGCAGTGGTACTTCACGTATAAAACAACATGCAAATATATGCTTTGGGACTTTGTCAAATTCGTCTTCTTCAATCGATTCTTCAACATTTACACAAGGTACACTTAGTCAACATGAATTCTAGAATAACTCAAAATTGTCTAATAAAGAAATCGATAACATAAAACAATTATCTGCCCAATGGATTTTGTCATGATCTTCGTCCATTTTCTACATTAGATGACATTGGATTTCGTAATATTGCTCAAGAATTAATTCGTATTGGTATATTTCCATTTGGATTGACAAATAAAAGATTTTATCGTCTTTCAGGACATAAACATGGTGTTGTTGCTGTTGCCGATATTATTCGAGGTCGACTACAGTATCAAGAACAGTTTATGATCTAGCAGATTCTTATCGACAAATTATGAAGAAAAAATTAGCTGAACCAATTGCTGCACGTGCTGTTATGATATGTCCTGACTTCTGGTCTGATCCATACAGGAATATTTCTTATCTAGGTTTAAATATATCATTTGTTGATGCAGAATAGAAATCATATTCTATCGATTTATTTTGTCGGCCATTTGCCGGGATAAAATCAAGTGAAATGGTGCTGATAGTAAGTCAATAATAGCAATTAAATATCGAGTCTCATAATTTGTAGATGAAATTTTTTATGTGTAGCGTTTGTTTATGTAATTGTTTAATTTTCGGCACTTGAACGACATTTAGCAGACTTTGGTATTGATGATCTTAGTATGGTCAACATAGTATCAGATAGGGGTTCCAACTTCGTTGCTGCTTTTCGTGATTTGAATGGCTTATTTTGCTTCGCACAACGACTTAATAATATAGTTAAATTATCATTCTTTCAAAATGTACAAAAGAAGAAGAAAAAAACATCGAACAAATCGACAAGTGCTACAACTTCAGCACCAGATCGTGCAACATTTAATGAACGAAGTGCTGCTCCATCAAATGGAAGTAGTATTTTATCAAGTGAAGAAACAAGTGAAGATGAAGAACAAGTAATTATTTTACCAACAATACCAATGACTCGAAAGAAGAAAAAGAATAAACCAACATCAACAAATAATCAACACGAATCTTCTTATAAAATGCCAATAGATGACATTTCACTTGCAGCAAGAGGCGTTCTCAACACATTAACCAAATGTAAAAAGATTGTAAAGTTCATTAAAAAGGTGTGTATTAGTGATTAAAATCTCTAATGTATAATATATGCATAATTGTTTTTTTAATTTCAATTTAGAGTGGTTTGAATAAAGAAATAGAACATAATGGTGGGAGTACAGTTCATCAATCTATTTCTGTTCGATGGTTATCAATGATTGAATCCTTAGAATCTATTTTAAAAATCATTTAAAATAATTAAGAAGATTTTATGTTTGAAGCAGCAACAAAAATTGGTAATGAATGTTGATGAAAAAGTAATAAAACAAATTGTATTAATTTTGAAATCTATGAAACACGTAGTAAAGCTGATCCAAGCTGGAAATTCTTCTTCACTATTTATGGTATTATTATCTATTGAAACATTGCAGAATGTTATGAGTTCTTATAAAGAATTAACTAATTATGATATTGCATTTGGTAACAATGGATCAAAGGAACAATTAGATGAATTACATGAAGATTTACAAGAGTTAGAAGGTACAATCATATAAAAAATACTATGGAAATCTTAAACTATATTTTGTTTACTAATTTAGGTGGAATATTTTTCTGGAATCGTATACCATCTTTATTAGAAGAAATGTTTACTTCTGATATACGGCATTAAGCGGCTATACTTCTTCATCCAAAATATCGTTCATTAAATATGTGTTCTGAAAGAGAACGATTAGAAACTCATGCTTTTATTCGACAACAACTTGAATCAATCCATATTGAACTTAATCCAAAAGAAATAAATACACCACCAACAAAGAAATTTAAACCAGATTTATCTAGTAGATTTTAATCTTCGATTTTCGATTGTAACGAAGTAGATAATCGGGATTCAGAAAATGAAGCGGAAGATTCTGGAATACGTGGTAAAAAACCCGATGAGCTTGATCGATATCTAAACTTCGAATTTAATAAATCTAAAGTTAATTGTATTCCATTAATGTTCTGGAAGGAACACCAGGACAAATTCCCTTACTTATCTCGATATGCCAAAAGTATTCATTCAGTACCAGCTACATCAGCTAGTGTTAAACGTCAGTTTTCTGGCGCAGGGTTAGTGATTAATGAAAGACGAACAAATATCAATCCTGAACAATTAGAAAATATTTTACTGATAAGATCAATGCAAAAAAATAAGATACTTTAATGGATAAATTAATATAGACTTTGCGTTTGTAATTAGACTTCTGTGTGATAACATGTAATTTTATACACTTACTAATTAAATCTCTTTCTGTCACTGCTTCGTGTGTGTTTCTGTTATATGTAGGCGTTAATATTATTTTAATACTGTGTTTATTTTCTCTGCTAGATTAATCCTTAATATATTAACTCAACAATCTTTTTCTTTCTATTTGTTTTAATAAATTTGATGAACATTAAGTCGTTATAAATGCATATAATAGGCAATTAGTACACCAAAAAATGTTCAGTGGTCGACGAACTTTTACAGCGAAAAA